CGTAATCATCTACAACTCAATGTTCTCAGTTCTCCTCATGATTTTAGTAGGTTAATAGACAAGCAATCAATAGTATTCACTCCTCACAACACTTTAAGATTGAGAGATGGACAGACTTTTTTCAAAAAATATTTTTTACCTACTTTTGGTTATCTGATTATAGAATAATTACAGTTAGGGTAAAGTCACGCTAGATAGTATTTTTATATAGATACACTTCCTAATAATAATTATTTGCAAAATTCTCCCTCATTCAGTTGGAGCATACATTTCATTTCAAGAATTTCAACAATGACCTAGTCTAATCCATACAAAAAATCCACATCTCAACTATATAAAGTATCCAAACAGCAATTTCAACTGGGTGTCCTACAGATACATGTCTCATCCAACTTCCTCGTTAACCATTAATAGACATGAAAACTGCATACTGTAAGACTGTAGATGCACTTTAAATGGGGAGCAAAGACGGTAATGGGCAAGCTACCGCGTGACTGTTGCAAAAGGGATATGTCCGCTTTGATCTTTTTTCGCATATTCCAAACAAAACAGGTTTAAATATGCTACAAAAGTTTAAAATCATAGAGCCGCAGACTTTGCAAAAAGGATCAAAGCTATTCTTTTGTTTTTCATGAGAATCTGAATCACATTAGTTCTGCATTTCATGATATCGAAATAAATTTAAAGCATAGACACTTGTTTTAACTTTGTATATTTAGTTTTCAAAGTTTGCAATTTGGGATTAGAGTTCACTACTGCCAAAAAATATGAGACCAAGCAGAAAAACTTACTTTATTCATGGTGGCCAACAGGTTTTCTGTCTTCACAATCGTGGGAAATATCGAATTAATGCCAGCGTTGTTGTTTGCAGTTTTCGCATTGTTGTTATTATTACTGTTACTACCATTGCTGTGGTTAAGAAATGGATGTTTTAACAGTGATTCGGTTGAGTATGATGGTGATCCTCGTGGTGAGTCGTCGAGAGAGTTACCCGGCCCGTCTGCAAGGATATAATCTAATTAATTCGGCAGTCTATTCAGAATACTCCAGGTCACTAGAGTTATTAATTATCCATACCTTCAGTTGAGCTTCTAGCTAAAATGGCTACTTCTCCAGGAGTGCCGTTTCGTAGCATGCTTTGCATGTGGATGTGTAAACTGGTCTTATCTGGGAATGCCCAATTACAGCATCTGCACATAAACATCCTAGAGATGCTGTGGATTCGAAACATGTGTGAGCGGAGGGTTTCATTACCTAAAGATGGCAGTAAGGAGAAAATGTCAATGTCTTTATGCCAAATCCTAGTTTCATTTCACTGAACAGGAACTTTACGTTTCCTATGGCCTGCAGACATTTTAAAACTCCGACTTAAAAAAGCCCAGCTGCTGCTCTGTATGTAAATCGTCTGTTTCCAAAGCGTTTAGTATCCGTTGTTCGCCTAGCACAGACAAACGTTCGTGCATAATTAACTCTTTGTGTGGATTCAAGCACATTTCGACAAATATGCCGCTGTTCCTCACTGACTGTGGACGAACTGCGAAACAACCGATTGAGTCAGTTGGGCTCAATCCATAGCAAATTTACCAAAATACAGTGAGATGAGTCACGCTATTGTGCTCAGTTTAGATAGACTAGATGGCTCTACTAGCCCTCCTATGTCTCGATCTGCGCATGGACTATTACTGATATACGAAATACAGATAGTATCTACTGCGTAGGCATCCTTGACCTGATCCAGACGGGTGTTCCTTAGCTGCACCTGTGCGTGCAACATCCTTACCGTTTCCCCGATAACAAGTCGAGGGTAACGATAAGGACAGCGATCGCGCGCAGCTTGAAGACCTTGAGAGCCGCGGCTGAGGTCAAAGTGATCTGAACTCGGCTGGACTTGCCTCGCATAGCTAGTAGCCGGTTCAAAGATGCTAAGGTTCTGCGCTGTCCGTAAGAAGGCGTAATTAGTTGAGTGAGGTCAGTGGATAGCGCGTCCTTGGTATAGAAAGAAGGAGTTTGACCTCTCACGGGACCATAACAGGAAGCCGCTACAATTAGGCTAAGCAAACAGGAACCGTGTGCGGATAGTCGTGCGAATAGTGCGAGGGTGCGATTCGTTGCGCAATCGGGCCGAATCGGTTGCGTGCGACAAGCTGCTTTAGCACGGCTAGTCGGCTAGTGAAATTGTACGAAAAAAGGAGAAAACCCTGCGTTTCAAATTGGAACCAGCTCGTTGTGCACGCGCCGGAAACTACAGTCTCTTATAGTTATGGCTGGAACATCTAGCTTCAGCAGGAAAGTGTTTTCTTCATACATTGATAGTTCACTGAACGTGCACTTGACATATGTGATTTACAAGGCAAGGCAGATGATCAATAAACAATATGTAATTATTTAGAACAACATCTACCAAGAATTTAGTTGCTAAAATAAAAGATATGTTAGAATTATGTTGGTGCTTTGCAAAGGATTTTAGGGAATGATGGTTTTTTAATGAAAGATGAACTGCATAATTTTCGACATAGCTCATTCATCTCGAAAATTTTCAGATTTTAAGGTATGAAACCATTAGCGACAATTTCTTTTCCAAAGAAAGGTATTTCTCTCCACTTCCTTGCACCGACTTTGATTATTGGTCGCAGAGCAATTAACATCGACTTTACCAGGGACAACAACTTAATCAGTTAGTTGTTGAATCAAAAGTTCTGTTCCTTTTGACTACAGCATCTCAAACACTTCGAATTCAACTCAAGTTTACTCCAATAATGTTTGTTATACATTTCTGCATCGAAATAACAGATCCCAGACTATTCTTCCAATTTTGAAGCAAACTACAGCGAATTTCTCTCCTCTTATTGACTTTGAAAGGAAAATTGTAGCGCGAGCTGCTTGTGAAAGAAGCTTTTAAGCACCACTTCTACAGTATCCAGCTGCGGTTTGATCGGCTATACAAACAGCACGCGCGGAGCAGCTATTAGGAGCACAAATAGTGTCGGATAAGCTGACTCTGGACACGGGCAGCGAGCAATATGAGCAAACAAACCCTAGCAAAGCGTCAATTCTCACACTTCTGATATCATCCCAGAGTAGGCCTACAAGATCAGGAGCGAGGCTATCAGTACGAATCGCTGTTCCCCGAGTCACCACAGCTCTCGTAATTCTGTACAAAGAGCAAGCGAGCCAGGGCCACGATGAGCACAATCCAGAATGGCGGCTAGTTATCGTTTTCGTCCCCGATGATGCCAGCCAGCCAGCATGCATCACATTGCCTGCCACTGCTGCTGGGCGCTCTCGGGAGCCGCGCTATCACGATAACCAGTTCTGTGAAAATGGAAAGCTCACGCAATGTACGCCCGGACGAGAGCGACAACGTCGGCAACAGGGGGTGAAAGCAGAAAGTTAAGAAAGCTCGCGATGGCTCAGGCTCTAATTTGCGCGGGAATGTGGAAGATTTGCGGCAAAACAATCACCCCAAACAATTCAGAGAAGTACTTACTAGATATTTCCTGATTGCACTGAGTGCATGTGTAACTCTTAAAGTGCGCCTGCATTCGATGTCTGCTTAGCGACGATGAATGACAGAAGATTTTACCGCATACCGAACATGGAAATTGCCCTGAAATTGAGAATATCATCTGGAATTGCAACTTCACCCAATTTTCATATTTTAAGCGGTCTAATAAAACCAGCTCTA